ATTCAGTTAGTGACATTAGAAAAACAACAGCAGTTTCTAAAAAAGCTGTTTCTATTCGTCTTACAGTACCCGTGATTTTCACATCAGTACATCGAAAGAAACAATGTACAAAAAGCTTCGCTCGTACAAAGCATTTACCAGATAAAGATGGTATGGCTTTAATAGAGCTTCGTCTAATAAGGGTAGAAACCTTGCAAGCAAAGATGGTTAAACGACACTAGGCAAGTAAGTGAAGACGTAAATATATGATTGTAAATATATGACTAGTTTAGAAAAGATAGAAATAGTTAAAAATAGAGAATACGCTCTATTCAACAGAGAATGGTCTCCGAAGTAAGTTCATGTTAAGCAAGTAGTGTTTCGAAAAGAGCAAAGTACAATTTATCGTATTCATATAGTTACTATTTCCCACTGTACGAAAACGTGTCAAAATGCTTCTATTTTATGTACAATTATACCATTCATTTAATGAGTTATTCCCAGCACTCAGGAGGCAACAAGCGATATGTAAAACTTGCAAGATAAATCGAATGCATTCCAATGTGCCATGTTCTTAGTGTTAGGCAAAACAGAGGCACTGCTCTCTAATATTCTACTCGCAAACCGTATCACTAAAATCGTTTCTAAAAAGCCCACTGGTCGAGCAAAATTTTCGAAAATTTTCGAGCAGAAGCTCCTGCTTCGGATAATTGAGAAGTAATTTTCTTCCGCTTCCATAAAATCGCGTTGCCCAAGCTTAAGCTAGGATCAAGGTGAAAACTATGATGCTAAAACGTTCTTTATGAGGTGATATAAGACGGTTCCTCCTAACGGCCTACCGCCTCATTGTGGCTGGGAGGTGTTCCTGTGTGTCGGGCTGCGATGTACAGCAGGTGGATTCATCCCTTGGCAGAGTCTCCCAAGCTGAGAAGGAATCTGACGTTTCCATCAGAAAGCCTAGCTAAAAGTAAACCAATGCAAGGATCCACCACCGTCCTGGTATCAAAGTCGCATAGTGGCAAATCTCCCTCTGATCCACGAGGCCCACAGCTCCCTGTGGTGGTGAGGACCTGGGGCAGACCTTAGCCGGTCTGACCTCGGAACTCCGGGGAAACGCAATGGCTAAGCCAGCAAAACTCCGACAAAATGAAGATATGCTGGGACCCGCACAACCAGTGAGGAGGGGCCGTTCAAGTATCCAAGTAAGTAAGTATAAGATGATCTTAATCTTTTTATTTACTGCCTAGTATAATTTTTAACGGCAGGACATCATGTGAGATACAACTAAGATAATTCTGAGATATTGGCAAAACTCCGAACCGCAGATGTCTGCTGTCTGTCTGTTGCCGATTTGGGCTCCCTAGATCAGTCCCCTTGACGGGTGATTGCTGATGGCGCCGGTCAATAGAACTCTAGCTGAGAGACAGGCGAAACGAAGGACCCGCATGGTGTGGTGGTGAACGCGTTACTCCCTGGAAAGGACAACAGCGCGTTCGTTCTCCACCTCAAACACCTGCGGTCCGGAGTTTTGCCAATACATCAGCATTATCTTAAGTATAACATGGTTAATATACCATTCACTAAACTTTAACTATCGCTTCTTCGGACTTTGCTTCCAATAATAAACACCACCATATCCACAAGCAGCCAGATACTTCCACAATCTCCGTAGACAACGCGACATTTAGATTTCTCTCGCACTTAAAGCAGCCCTCTGTCTACTATCTGCTTTTTTTTGTCCGTATAGGAATTAAGTAAAATGGAGATGCCTGCTTCAGGTCAAAACTTATGCTGAGATATAGGGCTAGGTGCCGCTTCATTACGAGGTAATGAAAACATATCGTAACTATGACCTCAATGTCTTTTGCACTATGTTTTCGTGTCCAATCTGTTTCTCGTGGAAATCGTGGCACTGTTTTCTATCTAGGTGTTCTTTTATTTGCCTGGATACTTGGACGGCATGTCTTCACGAGTTGTGCGGACCGCATCACTTTTTCCCTTTAGTTCTTCGCTTTGCAATCGTCGTCCATGGTGTTGGCTTGCTTCAAACGTAATAGCGGATGCGAGTACCACACCGTGATCTATAAAACAACTGCAGCTGAAAGTACAGCTGATTAACCTTGGTTGCCAACGCGTCCGCTCAACGCTTAGGTGGTTGTCCTAGGGGACTCTTGCATATTCGTGGGGTCCATTACACGCTTCTTTTGTCCATCTGTCGTCAATTCTTCTCATTATATGATCGGCCCATATATGTTCCACTAACGATGTGTATTCTGCGGATCTCGAAAATGGTCCCGATTCCGAGGGTCAGAGTTTTGCATTCTGGCTAGATGTTGTGTATGCTGGCTAAATTTCAGAAGACGTTGTTGGAGCCCTCTATGAGTAATGCGCAGTATTCTTGACGTGGTTGAAATCTCCCCCACCTCTCTGTTGCATAGCAAAACACTGGGAAGACTGTTGAATCGAAGAGGTGAGCGCGGGTTTACTCGTTCTCTGGCTGGTTTGTGGCTTCTTTGAGATGTTCTAGTGCAGCCCACGTTGTTCTCCTTCTTCGCTCTAATTGCTTCTTCATATTGTTCTCCACGTACATTGAATGCCCAAGGTACACGTACGAGGTGGCCTCTGCGATCAGAGAACGATCTAGTTTGATCTGTTCGCCGTCTCACCATTGAATTTTTCATGAACTGTGTATTCTTCCGATTTATGTGTAGCCTGATCTTTTTTTGCACTTTGTTGAGCTCACTGATCATTGTTTTTACTTCAATGGTACTCTTTGAGGAGGTAGCGATGTCATCGGCAAAACGAAAACTAGGGATTTCTCATCAATACATATGCTTTTCTCATGGCAATCGACTGACTTCGTTTTCCATTGCAATGAGGAAGTAAGCAGCTCTGACGATACGGTGTCGCCTTGTCGAACCCCTATTACAGTGGGTATGGTCGATGGAAAAGCTATGTTTTCGCAGTGTAGTCCAATAACAATCAGGTAGAGTTCTTATGTAGGGCCGGTCAACTCCTTACTCATCAACCAGCGTCGACATGATTGCATTAGTTTCGACGTTGTCAAGCGCTTCCTCTTAGTCGATAAATGTTAGGACATGGAGCAAGTGGTACTCCCACACACTTCTACGATACTGGATGCGGTTCGAATGTGATCCGTGCAACAAAATCCCTTTAAAAATCTTCCTTGCTTAACTGGTTGTGCCTCATACAAAGTCCTTGATCAGTGCGACAGTACAATCCTTCTGAAGAACTTCCAAAGTACACACACTCAAAAAGGAAGTCGGACGATAGTTATGTAGACCCCTTGGGTCACATTTTGTCTACAATAGAATCGTCGTTCTCTATTCATTGTTTTATAGCAATCGATGATTGCTAAGGGCATGGCGAACTTAAGGTATCTCCTTTACCCATACTGTTCATCGATAACGGTTTGAAAAATATTCCTCTCAAATATCTCTACGTATGAGTAGAAACTAATAAACATCATTTCTCCACTAATTGATTTTGAGCACCATTTTTTAGCTGCTTTTGAAGATTTTCTGTATCTTTTTCTCTCCAATGAATTTTATGCAGTTTGATAATTAACATTAGCTTTTGTAAAACAATTACATTCTCTTTTCTGGTGAGAGGACGGCCACGTGTGAAGGTGGGGTCACAGGTTAGATGTGTAGCACAGTTTTATTTCATCCATCAACACGTTCACATTAATCATGATATAACCTGCATACAGGAAATTGTGGACTTAATCGACGGACAGGTGTTTTGTGCACCGCAGACAGCCCTGCTACGAAACTGGATCGGTATCGGTCCGGTGGACCTGCGGCAACGACGGTCGAATCGGGCACACTCGGGTTTCTGAAATGAATAAGAGCATCCCTTATCCAATAAAGCCGAGATGGATTCAGCCAGTCTAGCATGTTATTGATCGTCACATTATTAACAGGATCGTTTAAGGCGCAATGAAGGATGGAATTTGGAATTGTAGACGCCTCGGGAGGTCTATAGCTTGAGCGATTTGTGGCGTCGCTCGGATAATAGTTTTAGTATCTAGTAACTTAAGAGATGTATGGAACGCAGTGCCTACAGATGCTCAGAAATACACACATCATCTTTGCTTCGATCTTGCGCTGTGAGATAATCAAGCCTGCATTCCTCTGGGATTGGCCAGAAACCCACTCCCTTCCAGGAGGGTTAAAAAATCAACCTGACACAATGACAGATGCTGCAGATTATTTTGTAGATTAAATATGCATTCAATTACCTCCACGGCGTTTTTATGGGATCGAATGTATGGCGCCTGTGTAAGGCTTTTATCAATCCTGAACTCCTTGTACTTCATTTGTCTTAGTGGGCGTTAGAGGCTCCGATAATGGTGTCGAGGGTCTCATTTGCGGGTGCATTAAAACAAACAGCACTTTACTTCCGGGAGTGCTTCTACATTGCCAATTGTCGACACATCTCGCTGTTAGATGTCCGCATTCTCATAATCCACAAGAGTAGCACAATGTGGCTACTGGCTATGAACCCATTATCCGTCAGCTAGGGTTGTACTACCATATCTCGCGATTACTCGGCTAGGTATACTTCAATCAGGCACGTTCATTCTTTCCGATACCATCGAGATGCAAAATTACCAAAAAAGAATAATTCAATCTTTCAGGAAACAGGTAATCTTTTGAAAAGGTTGAGGCGTGTTTGGAGCTGATCAACTCTCCGCAAAGCCATATACACGCCAAATTCCTCGTTCTGACGCATAATTTTCCCCTTTACCCATAGTAAACAAAGTGTTAGTGGCGCTTGCGCGTGAATTGTTTGATAAAAGGCCAGAGTGTAGTGATATCAGACGTCACACAGTCGACATCACATTCCTTCGTGTATCACCTAAGCGCAAATAGTGATGTATTGCTTAACACCTAGTCACTTCTTGCTTCATTAACTGCTCCTTTGAATACTTGGATAATTTCCTCTGGTTTCATTTGAGTTTCGTCTGAACTCTTCCAGTACAGCCCAATTTCGGAAACATGACGAGTTGTCGCCGTCTCGAAGGCAAAGTTGCAATTGTTACAGCGTCCACTAAAGGGTGGGTTACTACTTGAATTGTTAGAAGAAATACCGAGCTCGCCGTATAGCAGATGGGACACCGTATTTTGAACGTTCTTAATGCAACTACTACTTTGATTATGTGTTATTTATTTGTACTCGGTGAGCCTATAGGCTCTCCCTAGAACGGTAGTAACATTTTGATTTAAAGACTGTTCAAAATTCCCTCAGATAGTTGCTCTAACGATCTAAATCAAGTCACGTCTAAAATTTTTGCCACGATAGGAAAAGACTCTAGTTTTTTTTTAGATAGAATGTAACAAATTATAAATTCATGAAGGAAAATGAAAGTGACACTTCTAAAAATCACTTTGGTGTGCAGTTTTCTTACATTAATCCCCAAATTAGGGATGGAAGATTTCTCCAGAGCGAAGAATGGCAGTAAGAGATCTGGTTAATAGTCGAATATAGGGACACCTATATTTTTGCTCACAGCGGTGGTGACTTTTGAGGATCGGTCTAGCAATCGCAGAACGCCTATGTCTGGAGGGCGCTGCCGTTGTCATTTCCAGTCGGAATCAGAAGAACGTCGATGACGCCCTCGAGTACCTCAGATCTAAAGGTTGTTCCAAGGTTAGCTGGTTGCATTTTAGAGCCAATTGATCCGAAAAGAATTTGCTTCTAGGTAGAGGGCTTGGCGTGCCATGTCGCTAGCACTGACCACCAGCGAAAACTCGTGGATTTTGTAAGTTTAGGACCAAGTGATATTTGGAATCTGATAGCAAATTCCCTGTGGCATGCTCATGGCATTAGCAACACTCTTTGGGCACTTGTTTTGATAAGACAAGGAATAGATCGCGGCGGAACTCGTGAGGAGACATCTTTGCCCTCCGCCTTCTGTGCCATTTTCGATATCAAAAGTAACCTCTCTCTTACAGCAGTCTATTCCGCAATAGCTTTTCTGAGTCGTTGCTCGGCGGAACGTTTATATGGATAAGCCATCGATTGAATACATAAATTATAAGAAAAACAACTGTACGTTTTAATCGGCGACCGCAAACGATCGAATTGACATCAGTTCACCTCTGGTGGTTTGCCCCTAGTTATGAGTTAAAATCTAATAAGAAAGAAAAATGAAAAATGAAGCACTAATAATTAGCTGTTCCAGAAAGTTAACGATTCCAGACGATAGAAAAATTCGACAAGATCGACATTTTGATCAACAACCATGGAATCAGTCCAGTAATAGGGCACATTCTTGGTGGGCCATCTCTCCTACTCCATTTATTCGACAGTTTTCTGGACTTTCTTTTTTTGTCATGAAATGTAATTCCATTGAGGTTGCATTAAACCAGAAACCTTGAATCTCTCATATTTGAAATGTAGATGATATCAAGTGACTACTCTGCTGGAAATGAAATTATTTCCAGATTTGGATGAAGGTGGTTGGGACAAACTATTCAAAGTGAATGTTAAAGCAGGTTGGCAACTATCAAAGCTAGTATATCCCTATATGGCAAAAAATGGGTAAGTTCAAGTCGTACAATTATTTCCTCGGGAAATTTCATAGGTTTTATATAAACAATAGCACTAAATTTCAGAGGTGGAAGCATCGTATTTAACTCTTCACTTTCGGCTTATAGCCCACCACCACAAGTGAGTTTCTTCAATCAATCGTTAACCTGCAAATTGAGAACAAGTTCTACAAAGCGGTCACATTCTATTTAGCTACCTTGGCCTGAGAGATATGAATTAATCTCGAAACATGAAGTTACTAGCTGAGAGAAAAAGCGAAGCGAAGGACCCGTATGGTGTGGTGGTGAAGGCGTTAGTCCTCGGAAAGGGTTATAGCGTGTTCCATCCTCATCGTACCTTACCCTACCGTGAAAAATTGTAGTATGCAGCAAATAAAAAGTTGACAATGTGATTTCGACTATAGCCTTAGCTTAACTGGGTTCAATGCCAATTTGCGCTCTCCAGATCAACCCCGTTGACGATTGATTCCTGATGGCACTGGTAGATATAAAGTGATAATGTGCCTGTAGATCCACCTTTCAAACTTTTCTCCATGCATTTATTGGGGCTGGTAATCCCTTTGTAAGACAGCTCTATGAGACATAACAAGTTTTAGAGTTAAAGTCAGTCAGTCGAAAAGTCATTACACAAATGAAATTGCGCATGGCATTCAATGCTCCATAGTTTAACGCCCAATTTTTGGCCGAACTCGCTTTGAGCTTATTTAAATTCATTCCTGCCTAGTTGTCTCCCGCCTTGCAGCAAATGACCACTCCCAATTCCTTGCGGTTTCTACGCTATAATTCAGCATTTTTCGTATTTGTTATAAATTTCAATGTTTTTTGCTTCCTATAAGTGTCTACTGAAAAAATTGCCTACCACAAACCATGGTGGCGTCAGTACCTAATAATCGATTTTACAACCTATATGCAATACGAAGTGGTCGGAAGCACCTGCAATGCACATAGGATCGATCCCGACACCCAACTCACCAAGCCCTTCATCCCACTGGGGGTCGGCAAATTGGTATCAGACTTGTCCGGGAGGATAGCAGCACTGGCTCGATACATCGGTGGGCCACGGCGAGTCAAGGCCAGATATGCATTCAATCACCTTTAACGATACTTAATGAAGTCGAATGCATGGCGCATACCTCAAGGTTAAATCAACGCCGAGAGTTTTATCCTTTATCATTTTATCGAGTATTTGTCGGTATTTTTTATATCCACAAATTCCATGTGATAACCATGATCAGGAGCGCATGTATCGCAATGGTTAAAGGTGTCCTGCAACTGACACGTGGTCGTTGGTTCGATTCCGCTCACGAGCTCACCAAGTATTCCATCCCTGCGGGGTAAGCAAATTGGCACCGGACTTGCATGGGAAGATACTACCACTGACTTGTACATCGGTAGGTTAACGCAAGTTATTGTATAGGCCAGATATGCATTCATTCACCTCCAACGATGTTTGAACAATTCGAATGCATGACGCTTCATCGGGGATTGGTCAAAGCCGAAAGCTTCATCCTTTATCCTTTCAACCATGATCCATCACAGTAATCTAAAGCGAAATAATAATCACTGATTCAAATTCGCATCTATGAATGCGACAAATAACGGATTGTGGTGATTTTTCCATATGTCCCGAGAGGTTTGAGAATTCGAAAGGCCCACAGATGATACCTTGCTTTATCACTTTAAATGTATTAACCCCTGTAACGTGCTCTTTTCACTTCGAGCTTTGTTTGAACTTCAAATTTTCAGAAAATGTAAGAACGGATTCAAAGTGTTGAAGTCTTGAAAGCATGCACCACATTCTCAAACATCGTCGATACATAGCGGAACACCACCTCGTCCTCTAGAATGAAATCTCGTTTATTCAGTCGCGTTCCGATTCGAATTACGAGTCTCAACAAAAAAATTACGCTTTGTGGGCTCGGAAGCATCATTAGAGTAGTTAAGTTTATACTTAAGCTGATTTTTTCAAAGTAAAAAGAATAAGTTATTTCCCGAGAACGAATAAACAGATGAAAGAGATCCAGGCATGATGAAGCGGTAACTCATCGTGGTGATTGCAAAGCAATGAATAATCAGTAATTCCAAAAGCTGACATCTTTCTACCCAACGTAATTGACAGGATGTGAACAAAAAGACCAAAACTTACTTTGTATAGATAAAAAGCTAAGAGGATGAAGCTCTTAGCGTTGATCAATCCCTGAGAAATATGCCGTGCATTCCATTCGACTTCATTCAGCACCGTTGGAGGCGATTGGATGCACAACTGTCCTTTACAATGACTCGCAGTACATACCGATGTATCAAGCCTCTGCGGCTATCCTCTCAGACAAGTCTGCTATCAAACTGCCGACCCAAGAGGGATGGAGAGCTTGAGGAGCCTGGGGCGCGCTGATCAATCCCCTCTGTTGCAAAGCGCTTTCGACCACTGCGCTACACGCGCCGTTCACTTTGCATGACTCTAGGAATACTAAGATGATGCCGAAATTTTGCAAAACTCCGGACCGTAGGTGTCTGCAGTGGGGAACGAATGCGCTATTGTCCTTTCCACCGAGTAACGCGTTCACCACACCATGCGGGTACTTCGTTTCGCCTGTCTCTCAGTTAGTTCTATTCCTCGACGCCATCAGCAATCACCTTTCAACGAGACTGATCTAGGGAGCCCAATTCGGCAACGAAACGAAGGACCCGCATGGTTTGGTAGTGAACGTGTAACAAAGAAGAAATTAAACGGAAAAAAGGGGTCAGCATGAGCCCCACTGAAGTCCCTTAAGGAGGCTATCGACCAGCTAACTGGCCCGAAACTGCATGCTTAACTTTTCGATTCAATAGTCTTCCTTTTGAGATGCAAAAGAATACACATGTGTAGTGGAATATAGATGTGCTGGTCATATCACAAGGAGAGGAAATGAGAAGTGGACGAACAGAAATGTGAACTGCAAACTCTGGTACAGCCACCTAAGCAATGAGCAGATGTGTTCGTACCTAACATTATTCGTCTGCATTCGCTGATAGAAACTCACGAAATCTGTCTCATAGACGTCACCGTGTTCGAAGCATTCCTCAGCCATGGATTCCATATCACTGCGACAATAAAGAAACGAATGGAAAACACGCTGGAGCCCGCACTATTGTTGAAGTGAAGTTATTCCATACATGCCCGCTTCCAATTTGACTACACCGGAGTTTGGTAACCTTATAGCGCGGAACTGAAACAAAGACCACATATGTATTGCATAGCACCTCTAACCACTGCGCTACGCTCGTCCTTCCAGTAAGATGAACCGTGTAGTACCTAGTTATTGATTACTATCATCATCTACTGTTATCATTAAACGATACAGTACAAAGGAAGACCTAAGTGAACTCATATACTATGCTTGATTATCAAGAAAGAAAGAAAACGACAAGCAGCTTGAACTTGTAGCGAATTTACTTCTTAGAAATATTGTAATTAAAAACACAGTTGTGCCCCACTTTCGCTTTTCAGGGAATCGCCGCCTATGCAGTAACAAAGACTGCTCTGCTTGGTCTCACCAAAGCTTTAGCCAATGGCTTGGCCAAGGATAACATCCGTGTCAACGCTATTGCACCAGGGATCATAAGAACGCGAATGAGCAAAATGGTATAGACCAAGAACTCACCATTTGAAAATCGACTTTCTCTTGGTATAACCAATCGAAACGTAATCTTTCTTTGATAAGCTCACACGAGGTTGGTATACAATCTTTATATTAATGTTTAGTATCTTAACGTTTCGAAGTCTTTGTCTTCATTAGCGCCAATGATCTGAGACGATGGTTCACGGCAGTTCGTCTTCCCGATGTAGCATCTTCTTCTTCGCATGGAGTTGGATCTTCTTCAGTGGAGCGTCTCTCGAATGAGGGCATGCTCACCCGGCAACGCTCTTTTATAGAAGATGCTGGATGTTGATACTAGTGATTGTTCGCTGATAACTACTTGTTTTTGAAAAGAATATTCAGTTTTTGAAATGTTATTGCGCTCCATGCTAGCTGATAATGATACCGACCTCTGCAGGATGGAATGTCTGGAAAAAGCCATCCTTATCACCGGACAATCACTGTTATCAACATCCATCGCCGTGTATAAAAGAGTATCGCTAGGTCAGTACGCCTTATTCGAGAGATGCTCCACTGAGGAATATCCAGCTCAGTACGAAGATGAAGGTATCACATTGAGAAGACGAGCAAATGTGGATCATCGACTCGGACCATCGACTCTGATTAAGATGAGGACATGGAAACGCTATCCAAATAAAAATTATTTACCAGCCTCGTGCAAGGTTATCAAAGTGAGATTACATATTGAAAAGTCACTGTTTACACTAGAAATCACTGCTAGTAATAAGCCATGGACAACCCTGAAAATCAGCGATGCCGAATGTACCAAAGAATCTAATGGGGGATCCTCGTAAGTCAACACTTTCTTGGATTCCAAGGGAATAAGGAACGTGTTAAAAGCTCTCTTAGATTAATTCTTTCTACTTCTCCCAAGTCCGACCTTCTATTAACCTCGGCATTGATTGAATAATTCTTTCTACTTCTGTTCAGCAAACACGACGTGTTATTTTACTTCTTTATTTACGTACAAGCTGACGTTTCGGTGGATATCTTCTTCCTCAGAGCCTGGAAAGGTCAATTTGACAGCAATCTATTCAGCCAAACACCTCCATTACCAAACAAACGCTAGATCAATATTTCAATCACACTGAACACAGCTCCGCACACTCACCGCTTTCTATGAATCTTCCACTAAGCATGTCGTGTGAAGACCAACCGCACAGAATTCACACGGAAGCGTAATGTGCCCCTCCCATCAGAATAACAGGTTTATATACTGTCCAATTTCACGCGTGATAATGAGGCATTCTTCTCTGCTGTTCATGTTCGGATTTCTGGAATTAATCCAGAACGCCTCGAGAGTTTTGCACGCTTGTGTTCTCGATTCCCGTGCGAGGATCGTGACACGTACTTCAAAGTCCTCCCCGTTATGTCTCTGGGACCTGTGCGTGCCTAATAGAGTATTTGGTTGGCGTTTGCCGGCTAGGTGTTCTTTTTCGCCAATGTATTCGTCACCACACGTCTTACAGGAGATCAGATAAACTATACCCGAGCTCATGCAATCACCGTCTCTACCACTGGGGCAAATTATGCACTGAGTTGCACATAGACGGTCATATAGGCGGTTACGAACTAGCTGGCGCCTAAGATTACTCGGTGGCATTTCAACTACGTTTACCGAATTCTGTAGACCCCCCCCCCTTCTTAAGCAGCATTTTACAGCTGCACTTACATCCTTTGAGATGAAGGGTAGTAGAAACGGGACCTTGTCATCGCTTGAGTTGTCGTTTGGTGGCCTAGGATTTCTCCTACACCTATCCCGAGCTACAGTTTCGTAGCCATTAGAAATGGCTATTTTCCGCGCCAAGTTCCGGGACTCCTCTCTCTGCTCTCTTCCCGTGCACACGCTGGTAGCTGTTTGAAACGCGTTTCTCACAAGCGCCTTTTTCGTGTGAGAGGGCTGAAAGGAGAGGTAATGAACTAAGATGTTTTTACTACTTGGCTTTCGGTACCACTTCGTAATGTAGCCATTTTCTGATAGGTGAATTTGGACATTCAGGAAAAGAAGCCACTTTTCTTTCGGTTTCTCTCGGGTGAATTTAATATACTCTGACTGTTCGTTCAACAACTCGAAACATCTGTCAATTTCTTCTTGTGTTGAACAAATGAGCAAACAGTCATTTATATATCTACAGTAGAGTAACGGCCCGAGGTCGATTACTGGTGCTTCCACTCTAGATATAAATGCAATGGCAAGGTTTGGTGCCAGTCGCTGTCCCATTGCCAACCCTCTTATTTGAGCGTAGTACTTTCCGGACCATCTGAAGATTGAGCAGCTCAAGCATTCTTTTAAGAGTGCCATCGAGTGCTCTATCTTGAAACCATACATGTTTATTTCTCCTTCGTGTTGTGTAAGGAGTTCGAATATGGCTTGCATTGCGGAGTCATTCGACACGTTTGTATAAAGGGCGGTAACGTCGAAGGACTCCATCACGCACGCGCTGTTGGGCTGCGCAGTACGTAGACGATCCAGAAACATCTGGGTATTCGTAAGATGGACTGGAATGTGTTTCAACAACTGATTAAAAACATCAGGGTTAAAAACTATGTTATCCTGTCCATTGGCCCGTCTACGCAGCTAATGATAGGTCTAACCTTAAATAGTGATGGATCGGTAGACGCAAGATCATCGCTGGATACTAACTTGTGAGCTTTTATAAGCAAGTACAAGACGGGACATGTTGGTAAGTCAACTTTTAGTTGGGAGATAACTGGTGGTTTTAAACTAGCAGCCCTTGCCATTTTGGTCCATTCGTGGTTCAATTTTCGGTATTTAATTTTAAATTCCGTCTCAGATGATGGGTGATAAAGTGAAGCATCTTCAAGATGCTTTTGCGTTATCTCAACATCTAACTGATGGGGAATTACGACAAACTCTCCACACTTATCACTATGTTAGCTTAACCATCCACGAAGGTTTTGACTATTACCACCGAGCTCAAATGACGATCGATTTCAAAAATATTGTTTTGTTATAAATTATACGTTTTCCCACTTCCAATTGTTCGCCAGAAATATCAAAGAACAGATTTGCTTGTTTCAAGATTCTCTTAGATTATTAAGCTAGTAGGAAGCTGCCGTAAAACTTCTACTTCGCTAACGTTTAGGCGCCTTTGCCTTCTTCAGAGTAGGGATGATCTGATTGCCCCCAGCCATTGGTTCGTAAACTCATAGATCATTTTTCCAAACAAGTAACATCGACCGGATACTTCGACAATCATATATATTCCTATAGGAACATATATGAACAGTGGATTCTTGTATGTCTGTCATGAATGATCATAGAATACTATTACAGCTCCTGGATGGAATCGGAGACCAGGATAACAGAGACGTCGTGGGCACTATACAGGTATATTTCAGATCAATAGGTAGTTCCCTCGTGGCTACTGATAAACTCATGATGCACAATGAACACAAATTGTCTCACTTATGTCGTCTGAGATACTTGCAAAACTCCAGACCGCTTGTATCTGCGGTGGAGACCGAAAACGTCATTACTTTTTCGGGTGATTAACGAGTTTACCACCACACCATGCGGGTCCTTCGTTTCGCCTTTTTCTCAGCCGTGTTATTGACTTATAGGTGTTATCAGCAACCACCTGTCAATGGGATTGATCTGTAGAGCACAAGTCGGCATTGAACCCAGTTAAGCTGAAGATCAATAACACTGCCGAGAGAAAGACTAAACGAAGAACTTGCACAGTGTGGTGAACGCGTTGGCCCCCGGTAAAGATAATAGCATGTTCGGACCCCAACGCAGACACCAGCGATCCGGAGTTTTGCGAATATCTCAGCATTACTATGCCTCAATTATTGTTAGAAATCGACTTCCCCTCAGATTCCGCTCACTGGAGAACCAAAGGATTGTGCTGGAGCAGTCGCTTTCCTTGTTTCCGATGATGCAAAGCATATTACTGGTGAAACCATTGTCATTGCTGGTGGTGTTCATGCAAGACTGTGATAACTTCACCAAACATACTATGGAACCGGATGTCTGTTAAGTATTTCTATACCCCTGGAAGATACTGTATATAAATTTATTGTTGTAAAATCAAAACTGGTTGAAAATAGAGCAGAAAATGGCATGGATCAAGGAACAATTGGTATAAGAGCTTAAGAACTTAGAACACCAACACAGATTTCAATCGGCTTCACATTAGGAATCGTTAGTTCATACTGCAACTAGTTATCAGCTTATTTTTTCTGTTAAAAAAATCTGAAAGTACTTTATTTTGGCTTAGGCTTTCGAAAGGAAGGTAGGAGGAAGCTCAGGGTTTGAATCCAAAAATAACAAAGAGGATTAAAATTGCAAGATGCTGTCAAGTCAAGTCAAACTACAATGGCATGCCAATATAGCCCTTATTTTAAATCAATAATAACATAAGAAAACATTATCAACAGAAGTCACTCAAGTAACCAACAAATTTGTACTGTTTGGACAACTCGAAAGGATAAAAACATGTAGTGGAGAAGTTACACTGAAATCTAGGAATGGGTTCTCAACAGTCGTGTTCAGACACCTACGAAAATCGATAGGCACAAAAAATGGTAGTTTCATATATGGATAAGACAAGGACCTCTCAAATTCTTCTCAACGCTTCTCCGCCGACGTATTGCAGGCCTGAGTAAATGGTGGTAAAAGCGGTGGTCCAGCTGAAACAATGGCTATCTCACCATCTGCTTTATATTTTTAAAAAAAGCAGAAATTCTCGCCATAGTCCCACAGATACCGGTGTGAAGAGTTCACCAAGATTGAAGACAGAAATTGCAAGAGAGCTGGCGATCAAAGACAGTTGTAGAAATGTGTTCACCTAATAAACTCGATTCAAAGAAAAATTCGTTGACAAGTAAAAGACGGTTTCAATGGAACAATTCAACAGACCTTGCTCATTCGAGTAGGAACGACCTGCATTGACGACACCTCAGGATCAAAGAACCGTTTAAATGAATACGGTGGTTCCAGATTTCTATATCTTTTGTAGAAACCACCCAAAATTAGGCATAAGTCCCGCATTAAAACAACAGCAGTTAGCTGCCCTAAATAGGAATGATGAAGCAATCGGGTATGGAAAATGAATATTGGTCTGTGCTCCTTATTAAGACATTCTTCAAAGATGACGTATTGGTTTTTCACGTTTTTAAAAAATAGGTGCAAAATGGTGAAGTGCAGATGTAATCACTCCCTTAGGAAATGAGAACATGTGCCACAGCTACAACCAAGGAATGATTCAATATTCAAAGCAAATAATGGAAAACATACATGGTTATATTAATATTATATGACTGCTCGTGGACGTATAATGACGAACCAAGCTACGACGGACAGCGAGGGGATTAATTTCTCCCACCACCTCCCAAGCTAAGAACGTGTCCAGAACTTCTATCAGGAACCCTCGCTAAGAGCAAACGAATACCAGGATCCACCACCGTCCTGGTATCAAACTAGCCACATGGTGGGAGATCTCCCTGTGACCTACAAGAGCGGCTACTGTGTGGTGGTGACCTAGGGCACATTTTGGCTAAACTGATCTCAGAACTCTAGAGAAACACACTGGCGAAACTAGCAAAGTTCCAAGAAAATAGAAGTTATGCTAGGGACCGCACAACCAGTGAAGATGGGCTATCAAAGTATCAAGTACGTACAAATAAGTATTATAGCGAACAAGAAATTTCAGAAAAAAAACTCACATGGAATAAGCGCTACGTAACTCAATGTGATGAACATCACACTTACAAGTAATTTGTCTGAGACTGGATCTAGAACTGAGCCAAAAAGCGACTTTTGCCCAGGCACATTCCTTGCGATAAGGCCGTCTAGCTATACAAGGACGAATATTATAGACTTTAAAGAGAGCTCTTCCCGTCTAGATAATAGTATCATAGGCTTTGCGTAGTTGCTAGCACAACTTCTACCAACAAAGATTAGAAAATACAACTAGAACGAGATTAGTAGTATAAACTACAGAAGACCCACCATATCTGTCAGACCAGCCATCACGAAGAGTCCAAAAGCAACTGGGAAATCATGTTGAATAACGAAGTAACCAACAACAGGAGTCACAACGATCCTAAGCAGGACTGAAGTAATAGATTACATTAGAGAAGAATATTCGAAAATGAGTCAATACATGAAGCTAAACCACTCCTGTAAGAAAGAAATGGAAGCAAATCACTTCAAGATACGTTAAGAAAGAAAAGACGAAAAGACGGTTTACCTATAAAGGATAAAACTCTCAGCGTCGATTAGTCCTTGAGGGATGCAATATGCAATCGACATCATTAAGCATCGTTGGAGTGCAAAATGCATATCTGGCCTTTACAATGACCAGCCGTGGTTTCGCGATGTATCGAGCCAGTGATGCTATCCTCCAAGACAACTCTGGTACCAATCTGCCGATCCCGGAGGCATGACAGGCTTGGTGGACCTGGGTCGCGGGGATCGACCCCGTGTGTATTGCAGGGCGCCTCCGATCACTGCACTACGCGCGCCCACAGTTTATCTATGTTTTAATGTACGAAAGGATATTTAGGACGCTCAGTGGCGCTTTTCTAATGCTGCAGTAAACTTTAACTCGTAAGCCTAACAAAGACATTTCGTATTGCTTCTCGGCTAGTTATACTTCACAGAACCTACGAAATAAACTAACAGTACCTTCCAACACACAAAGCATTTGGTATAGTCCAGAATTTATATCTCCCACTTTCTAAATGTGATGACAGCCTTTTGTTTGTGAGACTCTCAGTGCCTTTAACAAGTTGAGATGATGTCCTACGTGACCTAAATTACGTTGTTTCCTTCTGAGAATCTAAAAACTGGCTACAATATCCAACAAAACCACGTAAGAAAAGACCCACAATCCTAAGCTGAACTGCGCAAAATACACTGATAAAGATTTCTACCGCTTTAAAATGAACATCCGGCAATTTCACAAAGGCCAGAAAACTATTATTAAAACTGTGGACTCTACTTGATACCCGTGGCTCGTGGACAGGCTAAATTTGCCAGAACTGCTAAACAGTCCAATTACAGTCAGTCGATGCAGTTCGAATAGTATTATTTGATAGTAGCACCAAGTAAAGAACCCAAAAATGTATCTATTAAGAAAAAAATCGCTCATATACAACCACAATGACGCTGAGATAATCCCGAAACATGGATCCCAAGCCAGATTGGAACCCGCGATTACCCTTTCCGGGAAAAATGGTAGGGGGTGAATAAAAAGTTAAACTCTGTGATTTCTACTACAGCCTCACCTCGATAAAATCGCTAACACATAGTACGAAGATCGGAAACTCAACGTAAAGAACCGGCCCCCTAGGCAAATACTCGATGCCATAGACGTGTTCTTCAGTCGTTTGTTGTGAGTAACTGTAGTTAACTTCATGTCCGTCAAGACATGCTTTTCTAAAGAGGTCGACAGAGCTTCTCGCCAGGCGTTTGTTTACCAGATTCTATGCTAATTCTGCCATTCAATAGCTGTCAGCCTACATTATGGAACCAAACCCCGCTCTACACATCAAATCCTTATGAACCTAGATTGGCTTCCTATTAGAGAAATTCTTCTTGGGATGTGGCTAGAGATTCTTGTCAAATGTTTGTTCATTAAGAGTCACTTGATTAGCTACACACAGCAATTCTGCAAACCTTAACTTAATCTCCGTTTAAGGCATAACGACCGATAATAAACATTATAAAGACATACCTTATATCAAGTTTTTGTTCTTGACGACAAAAACACGTCAATGAGTTATGTGACAGAGCAGCAAATATATGAGCTTCACCAATAGTTTTACATCTTGATGCAACATGACGCAAAGGTCGATGTCCTATTCGAAACATCAGCGGTCTGAAAACACTTCAATAGTGGATTTTTACTTTAGTTTCCATTAAAAATTCGCTTCCCAACGGGTTTACCGCCTCATTGTGGCTGGTAGGTGTTCTTGGGAGGTCTAACGTTTCCACCAGGAAGCCCAACTAGGAGTAAACCAATACCAGGATCCACCACCGTCTTGGTATCAAACCAGTCGCATGGTGGCAAATCTCCCTCTGGTTCACAAGGGCTGCGACTATCTATCGTGGTGAAGACCTAGGGCAGACTTTGGCCCTGCTGACCTCGGGATTCCAGGGAACCACAATCTCCCTCTGATCCACAAGATGCCGAGAATCACAATAGATAAACCAGCCAAACTTCGAAAAAATGGAAATTACGTTGGAGCCCGCAATACTGGTGAAAACGGTCCATCCAAGTATCCAAGTAAGTGGGTTCAAACTTCCACAGAACACTTATAAGCAGTCATAGTTAATGCTCGAGTAAAAACGTTCATCATTAAGGTAATGAAGGTATAACTGAACAACCTCAAACCAACGGAGCCGGTTAGTTCTTACAGGTGTCCCGTCTTCAGGTATGAAGTGACTTTTGTTGAATATTCACAATTAAAGAGCCAGCTACGAGTAAAGCAGGAGGAAACAATGTGATTGAATTTGGCGCTCCATGGCCAATAAAGGTTCGCCGATGCTGCTCTGAGGAACAACAGGCGAGAGAGGTGTTGTAGATTTCGTCCGTTTTCCAGAAAGACGCTTCCCGTGGATATCGCTTTTTTTCGCGGTCGACTTTCCGTTAACACCGACATTGATCAAGTAAATCTTTATATTCTTGTTGAGCAAACGCGAAGTGTTATTCTACTCTTCATTGCGATCAAGCTGACGTTTCGGTAGATTTCCCCTTCTTCAGAGCCTAGAAGGGTAAAGTTGACTGCGATCTACGCAGCCAAAGGTCTCCAAAACCAAACCGAGAAAACACTAAATTAAGATTTCAATCATTTTCATCACTTTTTTGGCTTAGTACTTTCTCTGTTTGGTTATGAAGGTGTTTATCTGGGTAGATTACAGTCAACTTGAGCTTTCCAGGCTATGAGGAGGGCGAAATCTGCCGAAACGTCACCTTGTTTATAAATAAAGAATAAATTAACAACCTCGTGTTTGCTGGTCAAGAGAACAGTGGACTATTGATTAATTCTTCTTGAATTACTAAGCTACCAAGAGGTAGAGCTTAGCAATCCGAAAAGATATTGGTTATTACTACCCAGAGTTAAATGACGATTGGTGTGGTGAATTGTTCCTTTTCTTTCAGCTCAAAAGATTACGAACGATTTTCAAATGTAGAATGTCGTTTTGGTTAGTAGGAAAAGCTCATGTTCAACTGAAGCGCTTGTCTTCTCTATCCAAGGACGCCAATCCATTGCATACTGCTGTATTGCTCTTTGCTCACTTTAGTCTGGCGTTTTTCATTGCAGCTTTTACACCTCTACTTATAAGGTTCGTTATCGTTTTATCGTTCCTGTTCATTTACTTACTTGGATACTTGGATGGGCCGTACTCACTGCTTGCGCGAGCCCCAGCATAATTTTCACTTTTTCGGAGTTTTGCTAGTTTAGCCATCGTGGTTCCCTGGAGTCCCGAGGTCAACCAGGCCAAAGTCTGCCCCATGTCGCCACCACCACAGGCAGTCTCCGCTTTTGTGGATCAGAAGATTTGCCACCATGCGACTATTTTGCTACCAGGATGGTGGTGGATCCTAGTATTGGTTTACTCTTAGCTGCGCTTCCTGGTGTAAACGTCGGACTCCTCGGTTTGGGAGACTTTGCTGGGAGGAGGAATTCTCTGCTGTACATCGCAGCCCGACACCCAGCAAAACCACGATGAGGCGGTAAACCATTAGGAGGTGGTATTGACTGAATGGGAGAAACAGTCGTTCAGCTGTAAGAAATAAAACGTTGGTTTGCTTGCTTTTCGCTTTACTTCAAACGTTAAGTGTCTTTAAATCCATATACTTTAACTTGCTTACGTATGGAATCCCTCGACAACAGGCAAAAATCTTTATAAGCGTGTTAAGTGTTTTGCGATTCAGCTTCATTTCTTTCCAGAAGTGCAGCGCTTCCATCATCAACTAGGAATGAGATTGAACTGAATCTGTCGTTTCAAACATGTAGTGATGATCTTCATGGCATTTGTTCCTTTCCGTCAGTTACGTTGGAGTACGAAAAGGTCTAGACATGCTATAGTTTTTGTTGGGCATTCCACTACCATAGCCACAAAATTAACAGGTCATAAATTCATTTTAGCGTTACGCTCTAACTCTAGGTTTAGAATTCTTCTTTCGAGTTATCTCTGACAGGATTCGACAGATCATCAAATAGAAGAAATCAAACGAGTAGGGAGCGTTTAAAGGAGGGCGCTGTACGACTTATCAAAACCATAGTGTTACTAAGCTTAGTGAAGTAGTGTAAGATCATCCAGTGCTGTGTTCCACATCCATCGAATTGATGTCCTTGGATTCACTTGAGACATATGAATTTAAAGAATGTTGGTCAGTCAGGACAAGTCTTACGTAGATATTCTTCATGATTTATACAGGAACTTCACGATCAAGATATAACCACCGATCAAGATTATGGTTTGAGACATAACCACTATGATGTTGAGATATTTGCAAAAATTGGACCCCGGGCCAAATTTGAACCGACGATTACATTTTCCGGGGGCTCACGTGTTACCCACGGCACCACTGAGGCCCTTGCTTTGCATTTCTCTCAGTTAACTTCACAGTCTTTTGTTTTTTTTTTTCTTTAAGAAAGGGTAATTGCAGGTTCGATGTGGCCTGGAGTCCAAGTTTTGCAAATATCTCAGCATCATAGTGGTTGTATCTCGCACCATACCCTGTCGTGAAAAGCGGTAATTGGCGCCGAATGAAAAATTAACATAAGGATATGGTTATCCTGGAGACACGAGCGGTGACGGAATCTATGTGTGGAGAGATCGGTCAGCTGCATTTGGACTTCACAAATACGTAATAGATGAGTTCTTGGAGAAAAGGTTTGGTTCTGGAATACCTTCAACACTGGGAAAACGTTACCTAAGTGTTTCAGCTTTGTGTACAGGCAAGAATTCATGGCATACGACTTATTACCTGTTCGCAGAAGGAGGCAATGAGCTGCATGGAAGACATCAAAGATATACTGAAGAAAACAGGGTACACTCCCCTGCGTTCTTCGCAGACCAGCGCTGAAAATGCTGCCGGCTTTATCGATCGCTCCATCGATATTGTGATGCATGGAGTGTCTCTTACAATACAACCCCGCGGAACATACTCTACCTGCTACTTTCTCTTCGACGTCTTGACTTCAGTCTCCAACACGAGTGCAACTGAACAAGCGGGTTTCGTCCAGAAGTACATGGTGGTGTTCTCCATTATGTTGCTATTTGCGACTGCCGTACTTACACTGGAAATTTTTTTTTACATAACTTGACATCACACATCGTGGGCTAATCCCAGCACTTCTTGGATTCGATTCATTTTCTTCGCATTCATTGTCCACAAATGACTTCGAACACTTCGGGTGTTGTTCCGGCTGTTGTTTGAGGATTTCATCTTCTTTATGAGTGTCGTGGAATGCTGGTAGAGTGGATTCTCCTTGCAATCTTAGAGGTAGTCGTATTAAGACGACCCAACTTGATTGGAAAGCGTTAGGGTGGTGGGTTAAACCAGCAACTTGATTCTCGATGGACTGCATCGCAATCCACCGTGCGATGCTTCCCCATCAGAAATTTTGAAAATTCAAATTTCGTCTCCAGTTCGTTAGAAATCTTCATGCTAAACTGCCTTAAAAATGAAATGACGATAATGATGGTACTAGTGGTAAAGTTTAGAAATGAACTAACTACGTGAATTGGGTGAATTCATTTCAATGTGCCATTTTACTAGTAATAAACAGAACAAACACATTGTTTCCTACTGCTCTACTCTCACAGTGGTATAAAATAGTTGAGGATCCCACTACTAGCCCAGAAATTTTGAAATTTTCAAGGTAGAGGCTCCTTTCCTGATCAAGTAAATCAGTATTTGCTTCGTGTTTCTGTAGTATAACGTTCCAACGTTGTCCTCCTATCTACATGTGAACACCGTAGCCCGTCTGTCTCCAAGGCAGCAAGGCGAATCGACTGGAACATCACCCTATGGCATTCATGAAGACGACAAATCCCCATGCCGCAGCTGAAACAGCACGCGAAATGTTCGATGTGCGATGAATGTGAGGAAAACGAATCGATTCCAAGAAGTGCTTGGATCCGCACAGTAGATGTGATGACAAGTCATATAAAAGGAAAAAATGTTCTCTCACCTTATGCTACGCTCAAAGTGAAAAAACGTTGCCATGTTCTTGATGAGTTGGTACAGGATTGTTAGTACGCCATTTATTCTACAATGGCTATGGCTTCTTCAAACTTCGCTTCCAGTGATAAATAGCTTTATGTTAGCATGCAGCCTACTGACTCAGATACTTCCACGTTTTCAATAGAAAACACAAAAGTGAGATTTCATCTGCATATCAAACAGCTCATTAATTATACTATGCCTTTTGCGTCGTCCACTTATTTCTGTTAAATTTAAAGATCCGCAGATAACTCAGATAAAGTGAATGCGCTTGTTTCAGGTCAGAAAGAAAATTTATGCATAAACGCGAGGTGCCCCGTATTTATGACGCATTTAAAACGCCTCACAAGTTTTGTGAACTGATTTCTTTAGGTCACGTGTTAGATTTTTAATTTCCATCTTAAAATTTCCAACTTCATAGTTTCAAAGAAAGTGGTTTACTACGTTGAAAATGAAAGGCGAGTTGAACGGTATTCCATCTGTTACATATTGGTCATTTTGGGCCATTACTTCTCACATTTCCTTTTAAACTTTCAAGTCTATGCAAAGTTTCCACCGTTTCGGTATTACTAAACGTGGATAACTCGAAAGACCGACTTTCTATGAACCTCGGCATAGATAGTTGATATATTTATTTATGTGATCTTATAAACTGATCTTCTTAAGCTGACGCGAGGTTGGTACAGATCTTCGTTGTCGTTGTCGTTGTTTTTGATGTTATTGATCGATGGCTGACGTTTCGGCGACTTCGCCTTCCTAAGAGCCTGGACGTATTTTATATCACAATATTTTTATTATTCGGTGGAAAAGAAGGTTAAAGTATTAATGAAGATCAAACTTTCAAATAGACTCCATATTGAACAGAAAAGCCACTCACCGTGATGTTACGCAGCTCAGAAAACTGTACGATCTGTCCTAACAGGAGAGACGGGGATTGCATGAGTTCAGGTATAATATACTTGACTGCATGTAACACATTCGGTGAAGAACATATTGGGGAAACGGGTAGACCACTTTGTGTTCGCATAAAAGCACACCTAGATGGAAAAGCTAAAATCGGTCTAAACACTCCTCCAGGTACGCATATTTTATACTACAATATTTTTATTATTCGGTGGAAAAGAAGGTTAAAGTATTAATGAAGATCAAACTTTCAAATATACGCCATATTGAACAGAAAGGCCACTCACCGTGATGTTACGTGCGGGACTGGTCCACACGTAGTTCACGTGGAGCAAAACACGCCCCGGGGTCAAAATATCATTTTGAAATAGGGCGCCAGGTCACGCGTGATAGTGAGGCATTCGTCCTTCCGGTTCATCTTTGGTTTTTTGAAATTTATCTAAAACGCCTCAAGAGTTTTGCGCGTTGATGTTTTTGATTCCTGCGCTAGGATCAGCACATTCACTTCAAAATCATCGCCGTTGTGCTTTTGTGCCCTATGCGTACCTAGAGGGGTGTTTAAACGGATTTTAGCTTTCCCATCACATATTTTCTGTATTTGCTAGGCCTATTCGTGCATGCGTGTGTAGGTGCGTTCTTGTTTATAGGGATTGTATTGAACGAGTCAATTCGGCCAAAAACCTGCAATCAAGTAAAAGGGAAGTATATGGGAGGCGGTTAGGAGTCGCCTCCAACAAATAAGCTCCATGTGCACTCTGGGAGAGTCTGGCAAGCCATCCGTGAGTAAACCCAACCCCCATGTTCAGAGCCCAGCGAGCTATGCGTGGGTATCAAAATGCTAAACGCAGTAGAACAAGTGGGTCTCATTCCTCTGATCCCGAAAGAGTCCCCAATTTCACAGCGTTGAGTAGGACGAGTTCGGAGAGGCTGCTAAAATCTTAGAGTTAATGGAAGCTGCTTGGATTACAAGGAACTATGGTGGCGATCTGTACCTACAATGCACGTACACTTGCATCCGAGTCCTCGATAGAAGACTTGCTCCTGCAAGCAAAAAGCATAAAATACGACATCATCGGCCTGGCCGAGACAAGACGACGCCGCCCATTCAACGCTGTTTATGACCTGGAGAAGAACTGAAGCGTCCAGAAAGGTAGTGGAGAGAATCATTCCCGAATACTACTCAGATCTCTTGTATAACCACGTCCACCTTCCATCATATGAAAAAAAGGAGGGCGGGTATGTTGTACCACCGGTTCTCCTGAAATCCTACAAGTCATTTCGTCGGTGAAAAATCGAACAGCACCAGGTCCGGAGAGGATAAGACCTGAAGAACCTTCCGCCAGTCCTCGTAAACACACTGGTCGGCTTTTCACACGTTACCTGTCTGAATGCAAGGTCCCTACTTAGTGGATAACCAGCAAGACCGCGTTATTGTTCAAGAAGGGTGACCTGCACGGTATCGGCGCCATGTGAGCATGCAGGGTTTCGAAAATGATTTAATACGATAGACCATATTCACACGATAACAAGACTTATTGAAGTATGGCGAGAGTACAAAAGGCTGCTTTGTCTCACTTTCATCGATTTACAGAAGGGCTTCGACTCAACTGAGGTTAGAGCACTCATTGAAGCCCTTGATAGTCAAGGAGTCCCTACTCAATACATAAAGATTCTTCGTAAGCTGTACAAAAATTTCACAACCAAGATGTCACCATTCTACAACGATATTAACATTGACGTCAAAAGAGGGGTTAAGCAAGGCGATACCATCTCGTCAAAATTATTTACCGGCACTCTCCAGAACGTCATGCGTGCATTGGAATGGGATAGTATGGGAGTGAAAATCGATGATTGGCAGTTACATCATCTTTGCTGATGACATCGTCCGTATAACACCAAACATTAGCCAGGCGGAACTTATGCTTGCCGGCTTTGATAAAGCCTGTGGAAAAATTTCAAGAGCATCGAGGATGTAGTGAAGAGAACAAAGAACACCCGACTCTATGCCCACCTTTTCGACTCAACGATACTTCCTGCTCTAACCTCTGCGTCAGAAACCTGGTCGCTGCGAAAGCAGGATGAAAGATCACGCAGCGTTATCGAAGGCGCAGTCGAAAGGATGATGCTAGGAGTATCCCGTTCCGCACAAGTACGGGATAGGATCGGAAGCTCGGATCTGCGTCAGTGATCAAAAATCAGTGATGCCGTTCTGTACGCCAAACAGTCGAAGATAAGGTGGCCAGACACGTAATACTTATGAATGACAACCGATGGACAAGAGCCGTTAGTGACTGGATTCCTCGGGATGCCAAACGTACTGCAGGAAGACCACCGACCTGATGGTCAGAGTTCTTCACGAAGAACCTAGAAGAAAAATATGTTGCTCGACAAGTCCCCAGAGCGAGCAGAGCCCGCTGGGCTACCCTTGCGCGCGACAGGGAAAAATGGAAGATTTACTAGCGCTCGCTTGAGTCACTCGACGATCAACGGGACTACAGGTGATACAGGTGGATACCTTTATGCCTAAAAAGTGATTAGAGGTAATGTGCAAGTATGTTTTTATTACTTGGTTATCTTAGGCTCTGCTTTTTGAAATAAGCGGTTTGGGAAGGTTATTTTTATTATCCAAAAGTAGAAGCCAGTTCTCTTTTAACTTCCATTCACTTGATCTTGTGTATTTCAACTATTCAGTGATCAGCTGGTTCGCCGAAACATTGCCACTGTGAAATAAGTGTTATATTTATAACATCGTGTCACCTCTTAAGGAACATATTAACTTGATCGGTGCGAGGGTTACAAACGCTTAGATTCGCGCGTATGCTGATCTCCACTCGTACGTGGGTGGAGATCGGCCAACATGAATTGGTGTCAAGTCATCTCATTTTCGGCCGTATATCCTCGAGTTTCATTGCCGTACTTTTTGTCTTAAATCAGTAGGTTATTTAACACACACTAGTACACCAGGTGTCGAACTAGAAAGGCTATTCCTTAGACTAAATATTACTGCAATAGCTTTTTTGTTACTGTAGTAAGAAAGGTTGTGGTTTTGAAGAGGGTATGAAGATAGCATGATATTCAAGATGAGGAAGTTCCTTACGTATTTCTTAAAAGGTGAACTGATCGATTGCCACGAGTTGATTTTAATTCATAACGAGTGCGGCGAAAAATTGGGGCCGGTAAGATATGGCGATCACACAAAATTAGGCATCGGATTCTTAGTGTTAATGGTCAGTAGTAGGAACTGAAGAGCGAATATGTTGGATATGGCATCGAGTCAGTTTGTTGTTTATAGAAGTATAAAAACGGTCTTGCATCGTCTAATGTTTGAAGTGGAGTTCTCGCGTTGTGAGCGCTGAAATGGCTCTTTCTCTTTTAAAATCTTTTCTCCCATGGTATAAGAAAGACATTTAGCTCATTGCAAAATTATGGTGATTGTTGGATGCCGTGTTGTTAAAATTGAAACTGTGGCTTTATTTTCATGTAGGTTGGAGCGCGTGTAGCTCAGCGGTCGGAAAGGCTCTGCAATACACATGGTATCAATTTCTGCGCCACAGGCCTGCCAAGCACTCCATCCCTCTGGGGTCGGAAATTGTTTATCAGACTTGTGTAGGAGGATAGCAGCATTGGCTCGATACATGAGTACGCCACCGCGAGTCATTGTAAAGACCAAATATGCATTCAATCACCTGCAAACGATACTTATTGAAGTCGAATGCGTGGCGCATCTCTCAGGAATAGATCAACGTCGAGAAGTTTCATCCTTTATCCTTTTGTGTAGAACTGTCGACCACGGTTTTGTTTAAAATTTAGTTCTAGTTCTAGTTCTAGTCCTACGTTTCTGAACAGTCGATGTTTCAGCTTATTTATTGATGCCACTTTTTATTTAGGAGTCCTTGTTTTCACCGTCAGTAACCTACGCTTTGTCTATTCGTCTTCGTTTTGCTGATATTGGACGCGAACAGAAGCTTGAAGTCTTCCAGAATGTCATATCTTTATACGACAAAGACGATTTGTTGGAAACTTATTCAAGGGTGTCGTATTTGAACAAGCCAAATTTTCTTACAACGGTATGTATTTCTCTTCTACTGACTTTTTGTCACCTCTGCAACTTTTATAGCTTTTAAAGCTTTAAGTTCAGCTTTTACGGACGGTTTTCTTCCCATTGTATTATGTTGGCCTGTTTTATGACTACAACACTTTGGATATTCCTATAACAACATCCCACACCGAGACAGTTACGAAGTCCTCCACGAAGCTTTTATATCAGCTGCAAGATCGCTTTGCACAGGTATAGTTAAACAGTTTTGTTATTTTTTGTTGAATAAGGATCTTTAGTTTGATAAATACGTAGGCTCATTTTGGGTAATTCGACATGTGGTGGACTGAACCTGCTTACCTAGATACTTGTCTTCACTGGTTGTGCGGTCCTCAGCATAATTTCCACTTTTTTCGGAGTTTTGCTTGCTTAGCCATTGTGGTTTCCTGGAGTCCGGAGATCAGCTAGTGAAAGTCTGCCCCAGGTCGTCACCAACACAGGCAGTCGCTGCCCTTGTGCATTAGGAGATTTACCACCATGCCACTAGTTTGGTAGCAGGACGGTGGTGGATCCTGGTATTGGTCTATTCTCGTATAAATTCCCTGCTGTACATCACAGCCCAACACCCGGGAACACCTCCCACCCATGATGAGCCGGTAAACCGTTGGGAATGCAGGCTGAACTATTCTTCACATTTTGTACATTTCGTAAAACTGCTTTCTTTAAGGTTGAGAGTGCTGTACTGATTGTGGATGCACGTTTTGGAATAATTCGGCATTTTTTGTATAACTGGCCATTAACATCTTCCATAGTTTTATTTGCTTCTTCTTTTTCGGGTAGGCATATTCATCTCGCCTTTCAGCTTTGAATAAGATCTAACCATTCCGTTTTCAAATATTTGATCGTGATTATGCTCTGAGGTTTTAAGAATTTGGTTTATTTCTTACAGAATATAAAAATGGATTTTTTTAGCATTTCCGACTTTTAGGAAACACTAACAAGTAGAATTATTGTTTAGTTTTTGCTGTTTAATTACAGACTAGTAGTTTTTTTTTCGTTTAGTTTGGTTCAGTCGTCCTACGAAGAATTAAAAAACTAGGCGGTTTTAGAAATTCATTAGTAAAGGACAACAAATCAGCTGTACCATTTCGTGATCACTATGTGATGACGTGAAGACGACAGCACCACGCCAGGCAAATCTCTCTCTGATCCACAAGAGCGGCGACTGCCTGTGGTGGTGACGACCTGGGGCAGACGTTGGCCAGGCTGACCTCGAGACTCCAGGGAAACAAAATGTCTGAACTAGCAAAACTCCGAAAAGTGGAGATATGCTGGGGTTCGCACAACCAATGAGGGCGGGCCGTTCAAGTATCCAAATAGGTATGTGAGGACAACAACAATTCCTCTTATCCTTTCGCCTTCGCGGAACTCCTCAACGTGCCGTCTCTTATGTAGAAAGAAGGACGGAGCATTTTCCTCTCAAAATGATTTTCGCAATAACCTTAGCACTATTTCCGTCGTTTAGTGTTCATGTCTATCCCGTGATTGTCTTCCGAAATCAAAGGTGACTTTGCTTTGTTTGTAGATCTCTAATGTTTTGGAGATAGAAGGATTGTAGAACATTTCATTGCATGTATTGGTTTTCATTCCTTAATTGGAACATTGCGAAGAACCTTTCTATTGGTTACATCACAAAGTTCAATAGATCCTTCGCTATGTACCAGCGACATCAACATCCATGGGGAGAGGTAACGGAGTGGTTAATGATGCAGTCCATTATGAAGCAGGGTGCTGGTTCTGCCCGTTCTCCAGCACGGCGTTCTTTTACAATCCACGTTGGAATGCCTTAGCTCGACTATTCCCAAGATTGTAAGGAGAATCGACCCGATCACCATTCTACGGCATTTATAATGAAGAAGAATTCTTCAAACACTAGCCGAAACAGCAAGCGGAAGAATGCGGGTTAGACGATTCTAACACGAGAGCTGTCGTGGTCTCATACTAAATTTGAATAGTTCTCGATACGACTACGAATGCGGCCTCAAAATACTTGAAGTGAGATTGCTAAACTTGTTGACAAAAATGTTCTCTGTTTCGTGGTTTGTCCTGCATCGACCTGTGGTTTTGAAAAGCTTCAACTTTACAATGGTTTCATGCTGAACGTTTTAAGGACAATGGGGTATCGATGTATTCAGTACAAGCTTCATCGCCGTAAAGTTTGATACATACCTCTCTACTGCACAGAAGTTTAACATTGTTGGATTTGATGCAGTGAAGCCTACTGTCGTGATATTCTCATAATATGAAGAATCGATAGTGATGGATCGGTAGTGTGTGTGTGGATTAGACAGTTAAGTTTTTTCGCTTCGGAAGTTTTCGTTCTTCGTTGTGCTAAGTGGTTGTTCCTTTTGGTGGTAAGTCGAGCGGCTTCTGCGTGTGAAGGCTGCCCGGAAATTAACATTTGACATTCGGCACGTTAATTTGACGGGTTCGACTTTCGTTAGTTTCCATCAAATTTATTTCTATGGCAGTAGTAGCATGTGGCACACGTTACTGTTGAATCCCTTCAAGGACATCTTGCTTCATCTTTTCTGGATAACCAATTCTTCAACGGATGGTTTTCTTATCAAAGCACGTTTATTGGAAGTTTAGGTGAATTTTTCATCAGCGATTTTAGAAGCCTGGTTAGATTTTAAAATCACTCCAACCTGTACTAAAGAATCCATTGTGAGTTTTCTTCTTTCAAACGTTCACACGTAAAAACCACCGTTTACTACTATTAATTCTATAAAGTGCAAGTAGCTTTTTGTATCGTTTTCAATTGAATAATAATAACTTGCTCAAGAACTTCTTTCGGTAGGAATGAGGCTATTTTGTTTCAAGGAGCTGAAACCATCTTGAACGCAACTTGTTCGCTCGACTAAGGGCTACAGAGCACACGTATAGGTATAAAAAGGATAAGTGAATAAAGCTGTTGGGTTGATGAAACCATGAGGGATGCCCCATACATTCGACTTCATTAAGCATCGCTGGAGGTGAGCGCATATCTAGTTTCACAATGGTCTACCGATGTATCGAGGCAGTGCTGCTATGCTTTCAGACAAGTCTGGTACCAATTTGCCGACCCGGGAGGGATAGAAGGCTTGGTGAGCCTGTGGCGCAGGTATCGATCCCATGTGTAATGCAGGGAATCACCGACCACTGCGCTACACGCTCCGCGCATAGACATACGCGTTCAGTTAGATGGCTTGGATATGTAAAGCTTTGATTGTTTTCGTAAGAACGAAAATCGAACGAAATCTTATTACAAACGTGCAAGTGCTGCTATTCTCACTTAGAAACGAACCTAGGGCTGAATTTTATTAACTACTTTAATAATTAAGTGGGTCATCTGCACGAACACTGCTACAAAACAATTCTTATGAGTTAGGTTTGACAGGGATAGGTGTTTGACAAGTGTTTGTCTGAAAATGTTACGTAAATATGGGTTCTTTTAGCATGCTGTTTTATCATACTCCTGTATTGGGGAACGAGGAGTTTGACCGTTTTGTGGAGAGGTTCTAAAGAGCAAAACAGATATCAATCGACCTCTGGTTCATCAAATCCGATATCTACGAGAACCAATAACTTCTCTATACCTGGGACTCCACTCACAGTGAGTTTAGATTTAAAGAATTAATAATTTATTTGGTTTTAACACTATTCTTGCACATGTCCTCCATGTTATTGTCATTTAGATTAATGTGAGAGATGTTTGACAGTTGTCCTTGAAGGTTAAAATAGTGTGCACTTGAAGTCTGTTATGTAATGGTTTTTCTAGGTGAACACCGAGAAGGAATACATTCCAGACAACGTTGATGAAGTTCCCTGCTGCTCAGATTTCACCGGTATTTCTAGATGGGAAATAAAACCAGTGTTCGAAAATCTGTTACCTACTGACTCTGTTGTTAGAGATAGTGTCCGATGATTTAGTCGCTGTGTAGGGTGCCAGTATCGTTTCATAGTTGATGAGCCTTCGTTTTTGTCTCGACATTCTCAAGTTCGTTCGCCTCTAGGACCATTTAGAAATCACGTGTGGTCCGAAAATGTAATCGATAATTGTAATCCATTTCTGTCAGTTTGTTATATTGCAGTGATTTTCCATGTTCTTCATTTTGACAGTAAAATCTTCTGATTAGTTCTTTGTTTCTTTTGAACCTGTAACGAGTTGACTCGCTTATTTACCTGTTTAGTTATCTTTTCATCATGTGTTAATTCGTTTCGATTGTGTTTCTCTACAGGTGAGGATTAGTTTTTCTTTTCATCAATCATTTTCAGATGCTGTAATGTATGCCTCAAATGTGACGAGGTGTAAATGGTGTCTCCTAGTCCATCGCTTCCACCGTTATGTCATGGGTTTTGTGGGCGTTACCAACTGCTTCCAACGAACAACACTTCCGAGTCTGTTTGGTCAGAATGCGGTGTTAGTTAATAGTATATTATACCTTATTTGACGGCGATCGGATTAGTTACTTTCAAAAATGCACTTTTGTTTTGTATTTTAGGTTGTTGTTGGCCTCAATTTTCAGTTGGGTTTTCTTTTGTTTTGAGTAGTCTAGACTAAACTGCTTACTTAATTGGATACTTGTATGGATCGTCTTCACTGGTTATGTGAGCTCCAGCATAATTTCCATTTTCTTTAGAGTTTTGCTTGTTTAATTTTAGTTACTGTACTTCCCTGGAGTCCCGAAGTCAGCTTAGCCTTCGTCAGGTCTGTGCCAGGTCGTTACTGTCACGGGCAGTCGCCGTTCTTGGGCATCAGAGGGAGATTTGCCACCATGCGACTAGTTTGGTAGCAGGACGATGGTGGATCCTGCTATTGATTATCCCTTAGCTGTACTTCCTAATGGAAACGCCAGACTCCTCAGCTTGGAGGAGCCTGCTGGAAGGGTGAATCCCTCTGCCGTACTTCGCAGTCCGTCACCCAGGAACACCTTTCAGGAACGATGAGGCAATAAACAGTCGGGTGGTTTTGGAGGAAATGCTGAATCCATTTTTTTTGAAAATCGTCATTTAGAGGTTTTATTTTATAAAGTTTTTATCGAATCCAACTCAGCGAGCGCGGGAGAACTACATATAAAGCGTGTGGAATACTTCTGCAGTTACTTTGTACTAAATAACAGTTCTTTTTGTTTTAGCCTTGCAAATGGGGAAGTAGTGCAGTGAACCATCGTGTGTGCATTCCATGTGAATCTGATCTGTCCACTTATGATTGGATGTTTTTAATCTTCATGACGATACTTCCACTTCTGGTTCATAGTTTCTCTGTGCATTTGTATGCACCTAAGAATATGTATGTTTTTAATTCGTTTTGACTTTAAATGATACTTTTTCTTTTACTTTCTGAAATTACTTTCTTAAGCCATATGATGGACAGTTAGCATTGATAGTACACATTGATAGGATTTCAAAGTTTGTCCTTGTAATATTCACCATTTTTTCCATTTCACCGCGATGAGATTTCGGTTCTCTAGGGTCTAAGAGTCGTTTTTCTTTCTTGGCTTACTTTCATTGAGACTTGTATTTCAATTATCTAACAATTGGATAAGCAAGAGAATATCTCCGTGAGAACATGTTGGTGTTCTCTAATGTGCCTTGAGTGTTCGCGGGTGCTCAGTTCCCACTAGGAATTTTTGAGATTTAAGCTGCCTTTTTGAATTTTTCGGAAGTGCCAATTCTATGCGAGTTTGAAAAAAGAAAACCTGAAAAAACTATTCCAAACTCAGAGCGGTAGGGCAAGGTTTCTTCCATAAGCCGTGTCTGTTAGCCGTATTCTATTAGTATTCTATGGTAAACTCCTCAATTTGCTGTGCTTATTAAGATAATTTTCGGTGTTTTTCTAAGAAGTCTGAGTAGTTGAAATTGCAGGTCCCGTGTACATGAATTATGTGAACATCTTTGTTGTGGTTTGGAGTGTTTAGTTGCGTCTATTGCTGCCGTGTTGGTTTTTCCACCCCGATTCACATTCGCCGTTTGGGGTTGTGGCAGGTCGAGCATCAAAGAGTGGTATGTGATTTCATTCCGTGTAGCGTTTTTTCTTTTTTTTGCATTCTAATTTATTTCCTTCACATTTCGAAGGCACTGGAACCGAGCATGTGAAATCTTGTGATCAACTTAACCTGTTCTCTCGTTAATAATAGAGCGGATTGATCTGCACCAGTCTGGTCTCCATTCCCCTTTTTGTCGCCTATCAAAGTGGTTGAAGAGTCAGATAACCATTGTTCGCCTAAGGGTACAAGGGATATCGTAACATCAATGATTACCTTTTGATCAACTTATTTTTAATGTTTTAACCTGCGCGACAGCGCCCATGTCTTTTGATTGCTGATGTAGGCGACTATAGCGCTAGCTTTTGCTCAGCTCTTGAAGCTGAGATGTTCGTTGGTGTTTTTGTTGAGAGCAAATGGGGCGTCGTGAACTCACCAATTTATTATCAACAGCTTCATACGTTTTTCTCCATTTCCTTTTTTGTTTGTTTGTTTTTTGTTCTTCATAAACAGCTGCTCGTTTATATCCAGCACTGAATCGTACCCGTATATCTCACGGTTTCTTTTACTGAATTCAACCAAACACAGGAGAAGAACGTCATTTTGATGAAGACACATACTTGCACTTCCGGACGCGGACTAGCACGACAGTTCAAGAAGTAATTGTATGACTACGATTCAGATCTAAATATTTCCCCAATCCAATTCGCTCAACTTGCTGCCTTTCATCTAGTGATCTGTCAATTCCGTTGAGTGTAAATTTGGTAAAGGGCGTGTAGACGAAGGAAAACAGGTACTTAGGTTATGGTTGTGGATGTCATGATCTCCTTATTCGACAGAAACATATTCCTCGTGGTTTTCCATTGTTTAGGTGCTTAGTATTTCCACAGGCATGTGGCAAAAAGCGGGGCCAGTTTATTGACGACAGGCGCCTGGCTCCTTGCAGCCGTATCAGATTCTGTAGTGCAGTGCGTTCCATCGTCGCTGAAGTTGCACTTCGAAAAAGAGTGTTGTAACGTATTCATTCTACATGGTATGATCTGGAATCGTGTGGATGTGGTTGAATAGAATAGAAGTTGTGGGTGGTTTTTTTTATTGTCTAAATCTGCATACAGTCTATGTGGATGCGGAAGGATGGTTGTCGTGATCTCGTTATTTTCGAAATCTCAGGGGTACACTTTTCCTATACTGGTTTTTGTCCTTTTTGGGCAAGCTTAGGATGGTTAGACGTCAAGTGATGATTGCCCGCTCTTCTTCCATGTCTTTGCTAACGCACAGCGTCGCCGGCTGCCAGTAAGACATCGTTTGGTTCAGAGACTATCAATTTTCGCAATATAACGCGAAGTTTCTAAGGATACAGCTGTCTCCTTTATCAACGATGTTGGCATCGATGTCTTGCAATAACCAGGTTAAGGAAATAATATATCAAATTGTGCACTGATTGTGAAACTTACATGATCATAGATACCTGAAGTTGGTTTTTTTCATGCTTTTTTTCGAGAGAATGTATGCTAGGTGTGAGGGCATGGACATACTTTGCGTAGTAGTTTTAAAGGAGAGTCAAATGGGACAGGCAAAATTTTCATTGACTATGATGTGACGAATTCAGCTTTGTTCAAAGGATCGACTTTCTGTTAACCTCGGTATTGATATATGAATGCGTCGTTTTCTTGTTCAGCAATCGCGAGGTTTTTAAACAGCATACATTTGCTTCCATAGAAAAACACAGTACAATACAACAGTAGCTGACGTTTCGGCAGTATCGCCTTCTTCAAAACCTGGAAGGGTGTACTGATATACACAAGGGTATGCTGATAAACACATAAGTTGGTATCACCTGATGATCACGTCTACGAAAGAACGTCTACGTAACGCGTCTCCTAATAACGCGTACGTGATGGAGTCTTTCGACGTTACCGCGCTGTACACCAACGTGTCGAATGACTCCGCAATGCAAGCCATCTCCGAAATTGTTGTTGAACATGAAGGAAGAACAAATATGCATGGCTTGTCCATCTAGCAGCTTATGGCTCTTTTAAAAGAGTGCCCAAACTGCTCGATTTTCAGATAGTCTGGGAAATATTTCGCGCAAATAAGAGGGTTGGCAATGGGATTGCGACTGGCACCAAGCCTTGCCAGTGTTTATGTTTATGTCTAAGATAGAAGCCCCTGTTCTCGATCTCCGGCCACTACTCTACTGCAGTTATGTAGATGATTGTTTCGTCGTCTTCTCTACGCCGAAGGAGATGGACAAATGCGTTGAATTATTGAACGAGTAGTCTGAGAACATAAAGTTCACCCGGGAGAAACCGAGAAAAAACTGTGTTCCGTTTTTGAACGTTTAAATAAACCTATCAAGTAGCGGTTACTTGACAAAGTTGTTCCGAAAGCCAAGTAACAAGAACATCCTCGTTCATTTCCTTTCTTCCCACACTTCACACACAAAGAGGGTGATTGTGAGAAACATGTTTCGAACAGCCATCTTGTGTGCACAATGAGGGAACTAAAGCAAGAGTCGCGCGACTTGGCTCGGCAAATAGCCATCTCAAATAGCTACGAAATAGTAACCCCACGAGATAAGTTTAGAAGCAGAGCGACGCGCCCACGCGAAACACTTGCCCAAAAGAAAATCCCGTTTATGTTGCCTTTTATAAGCGATGATGTAAGCGTAGCTATAAAACGATGCTTAAGAAGGACAGGTCTAGAGGAATCGGTAGCGATAGTTGAAAAACCACCTGCTACTCTACGTCGTCAATTAGTTCGTAACCGCCTGCATGGCTGTCTATGTGAAACAACAAATTGCGTAATTTGCCTTCACGGTAGGGACTGTGATTGTATGAGTTCAGGTACGATATACCTGATCTATTGTGATAATTGCGTAGATGAATATATTGGCGAAACGGGAAGACCTTTGTGTATGCGCATAAAAGAAGATCTAGATGCCAAACGAAAACTAAAACAAAGTACCCTACTAGAGACGCATAGCATGCAAAGCGTAGCGGAGACGATTTTGAAGTAAAAGTCAATATCCTTGCACAGGAGACTAAAAGACCAGCGCGGAAACTTCTTGAGGCTTTTTGGATAAATGCCAAAAACCTCACAATGAATAGCAGGGAGGAATGCCCAAAGGTCATACGCGACATGACCCCGTATGTTCGCATCAATTTCTGATGGATTGTGCACTCATAAACCATTTGCGACTACAATCAGCTGTTCTAAACATCCTCATTGGAATTCACGTAAAAAGCGGTAAGTTTTCTGAGAAGTTGTTGTTCATGTAATTACCATAGAGTTTTTCGTCTTTTTGTGTTATTGAGGCGTTTGGCCTAGTAGATTGTATATCAGTATATCCTTCCAGGCTCTGAAGAAGGCGATACTGCCGAAACGTCAGCTAGTGTTGTATTGTATTGTGTTTTTCTATGGAACTAATTGTATGCTGTTTAAAAAGCTCGCGATTAATGAACGAGAAAACGACGCATTAGCTTTGATCTTCCAGCGGGCGCGTGTATCGCAGTGGTTAGAGGTGCCATGGAATACACATGGGAAGGACCATCCCACCGCCCAAGGCTCACCAAGCTCTTTCGGAGTCGACAAGTTGGTACTAGATTTGTCTTAGAGGATACCGGCACTGGCTCGATACATCGGTAGACCACCGTGAATCCGTGAAAATTGAGTCACCTCCAAAGATGCTTGATGAAGACGAATGCATGGCGCTTCTCCCAGATATCAATCAAAACCGCTGGATTTATCCTCTATCATTTTAGCTCCACCGGTTTATTCCCATTTCTACCGTCAAGCGATAAGTTCTGGCATTACCGAGTTACCGGCAATGCTGTTGATCATAATTATGAACTCGAACAGTCTTTCGTCCTTGTTCTTTTTTGGTGAATCGATCCTGAAATTGTTCAGACGCTTTCGAAATGTCCAGCTTTATTTGGGTCAAATTAAGATCTTAAAAAGTATAGTCTCATTGGAATTTTCCAAGCTCGTAAATAAGTGTGAGGAACTTGGTCTTTCTGATAGATTAGATTAAGGAGGTTTTTAAAACTTTGTATTTTCTTGCTTCTGCTAATTTAATAGCTTTGCTCACTGTACATATCAGACATAAGATGAATGAGCTGCTCCCTGTTCGTTGTCATAAACACTTCATCATTTTTAGGTATCCAGAATTATACAATCCCATCATCAATCACGTAAAACCGTTACGTTGCTCCTATGAAGTAGTTTTTCCATTGTAAGTTGCTTTCCTTTTTTCATGGCGTGGTAATATCCGGCTTGTATTTGGTTTAGATACTCTTTTCCGTTCGTTTACTTACTCTTCCTTCTCTGTACAATTTTGGTATTTCGTTCATTTCTCTACGTTTCCATCTTGAAACGGAACAAAGACGCGAAGGCTTTCTATTGTGCTCTGCTTGCAATTCCGAAAATTGCTGTTATCCACGCACTTCTAGTAAGTATTCCCTTATTTTTGCAACTTTTTAAATCGGTTACCCTATACTTTTTCAGGCCGGTGTTCTTTATCAGTCTTACCCATACATCGTAATGTTGTGGAGTTTGTGCGCTAACGCTGTGCATTTAGCGATAGAAGGGAAAGTATCAGTGAAAGAAATTGCTAGTATGTTCTGTATAGCAGTGAATTTTTAAAGCGTTTTTGAAATACTGATGTCAATCCGATCTTTGGGGAGCGGAGCAGTAGCCAAAGGCGCCTTACAGTACTCATAGGATCGAGCCCAACACCTCAGGTCCACCAAGCTTTCCATCCCTCCGGGGTCGAAAAATTGGTACCAAACTTGCCTTAGAAGATAGCGGCACTGACTGGACGCATTGGTGGGCCACCTCGAGTGATATGCTGTTCAATCACCTCCAAGGGTGCTTAATGAAGTCGAATGAGTGGTACATGCCTGAGGGATTGGTCAAAGCCAAGAGCTTTATCCTTTTATCCTTTATACCGGATCTTGATCGTTATTCTATTACATTTTCGTCGTTCAGAAATAGTCCTCACTTCGCCGGTGCACATGGCGATGCTCACAGTGAACATGATGCTTCTGGCTTTCTCTCTGTTGGCTATTTCAGCACAGAAGTTAGTTTCTATTCGAGAAATTCGCATCAGTTTTTGTACCTATGCCATTTAAGAGAGAAAGAGAGAGTAAAAGGAAGGTGACGTTGTCTAGCGGATGCGAGATTTTCTTACAACGAAAAAGGAAAAAAAATTGTAAAACGTAGAGATAAAGTTGAGAAGCGGTCAGGACGTAAGATTGTCCTTGCTAATGGACGTGTGTCTCTTGTACGTGTTATGTAGTTTTAATACTTGGATATTTGGTTACCCGGAGGGTCCGCCTTCACTAGTTGTGTGGGCTCCAGCATAGTTTCTATTTTTTTTAGAGTTTTTCTGATCTAACAATTGTGGTTTCCAAAAGTCCCGAGGTCCGCCTAGCCAAAGTCTGCCTCAGTTCGAGACCACCACAGGCGTTCGCCGTCCTTGTGGATCAGAGAGATTTACCACCATGCGACTAGTTTGATACCAGAATGGTGGTGGTACTGGTATTGCTTTACTCTTAGGTAGGCTTCCTGATGGAAACGCCAGACTCCTCATCTTGGGAGACTATGCCGGGAGATGAATCCCTCCTGTGCATCGTAGCCCGAGACCCAGGAACAGCTCCCAGCCACCACGATGGGATAAACCATTGGGAGGATGTGGTTAAAGTACCGTTTCCGTTTTCAGTTAATTTCTTCCTGTTAGTGCCTTGAGAGTTGTGAAGTACATGTGGCATTTTGATTTACTCCAAAGGTTTTTTTGAGCTTTTCCAACTCTATAAACCATGAAAAAACAATAGAAAAGACACTGTACTTTTTAAGTGATCATGTTTTCGTGGACGGCCTATAACCTGCTGTATATTTGCAGCTTTTTAAATGTTGCTCTTAAGGTAGTATTTTTTATTTCAGAGAGTCACCGGTGAACTTACGATCGCTCGTTCTTGTGCCATTTCCTCCTGTATTTTACATCCTGACAATCGGGATGAGTCATCCCAGTGTATTATCGGAAGTTTAGATTTCAAACCTAAATTTTGAAACCAACTGACGTGTTTGGTTTGGTGCAGACTATAGTACTGCTAGGCAGAAGTGTTCCTGCTGGGGGCATGCCTTTCTTTCTATCCTTTTGGTTGTTGTGAACTTCCAGAAGTATTCGTCAGGTTCCATTTGATCTTCGTTGTGCCTACAGATGTTAAATAGATGCGTTTTTATAGATTAGATATTATTGCTCAACTGAGATAAGCCATAAAATTTCAGTGGTCTGACCTCCATTCCATTCAACCGCGGCTAATAATTGTTTGCTGTTTCATGAACTCTTTCCGTTTTTCTCCACATATTTCTTTAGTACGGGTAAAAATCATTATTCTAAATAGACTTACTGCCATCCTTGTTCTGGTTTATCCTCTAAGTTTCTAGTTTTCCACTTTAAAAGTCAGAGTCTGATATACGACGTGTGTTTAGAAATTTTGTGATATTCTTTTGGGAACAGTAAAGTTTACAATTGTCGGGTTTTGTTCCTGGTCATTCCTACTGTCCTGAGCAGACATGAACATCAGCTATGTTCTTACCACCGCTTAGTGTTACTTGTCATACTACTTTTGGTATTTTCCTTAACAGTCGTGTGAAGTCAAGTTTCTTGTGGAATATCTTTCTCGACTCAAATGGACTATTTGCTATTCACCACTTGTCTGATAGATCAGGTACTCAGTTCTGTTGGTGATCTATCGTCGCATTATCGCTTCTGTGCTGATGAGTGTAGACTGAGTTACTCCTGTCCAGGACGATTTGACAGCTGTGCATGGTGCTATGGATCTTGTTTCCGGTTGGCAGATATTCCTTTCCCTTTTTCTTCTTTTTTTGCGTTTCTAATCAATTTCAGTTGCCGATATTATTGTATGTGGGAGTCTGTGGACCACTTTATGAAGCGAGATGTACTCGTGCCACAGTTTCATGGGAAATGGCCGTTTATAGCTATTGATTTTTCCATATTCGACTCGGTGAATATTACCATCCAAGTTCGTGTTTTTCTACAATAGTTTGCTTCCAGGACTTAACTACATTATGTTAGGTTACTGGTTCGAGCTTCAGACATACAGAGATTTGTGGTGCAGTAATATCTGTTGCAGGAACCAGCATCATTTGTCTTCTCTTTACTAAACTTTTATTCATTCTTATTGTTCTATAGAAAACTAACATTCATGGAACAACTAGAAAGCCATCGCATGTGGGCGGTTTACGCTGTTGTGGGTTTGCTGGCTTGGTGAGTTGCTGAATGCCTCGTCTGATTCTACATTTAATTTTCAAATACATTGTCTGTGCAATACAACCACAACGATACTGAGATATTCGCAAAACTTAGACCCGGACTAGATCGAACCACGATTACATTTCCGGGGACTCGCGTAATACACGCTGCACCACTGACACCCTTGCACAATCCATCAATCCCGCTGAAAGGTGATTGCTAATGGCAACGTTAGGTAGAAAACTAACTGAGAGAAACGCAAAACAAGGAACTCAGTAGTGCATTGTGTAATATGCGATTTCCCGGAAAAGGTAGTCGTAGTTCGATCTGACCTCGGGTCCAGTTTAGCGAATATCGGCATCGTTGCAGTTGTATTTTACATCATGCTCTCCCGTGAAAATTTATAGTAGGCAGCGGATAAAAGGTTTACATTGTTTGTTTTATAAAACTAAAGACACAAATTGTTAGATGCGTAAGTGAAAAGTGCAAAGTGTATATTTGAATTGTAGGCTGTGTTCGGCCGCTTACCATGCGAATGATTGCTGGTTCACGGAATATCTTGACTATTTTTCTGCTTTTGCTTTTATACTTTGTGCATCGTACACATCTTTTTGTTTCCTTCTGGGCTCCTTAAATCTACCTTCTACTAGCTTCTGGAACGTGTATGTTTTCTCACAAATGTTTCCATTTGAATAGAGATTCAGCATAATGTAACTATTTACGTTAAATGTGTTTTTTAGGTCTTCGATGTACGGTTCTTTATTACTTCTCTGGTTTGCTACGCATGTATATCACATGACGGTGAGTGGAAATGAACGTTTTCATACGTTAGGCAGTTCCTAAACTAGTTAGTGCATGCAATCCTACTTTTCAATTACGGTGTCAATGTGGGAAAAGAATACTTAACTGTTGCAAGCAATCTGTAGCATATACTTTGCAGTTCCTACCAAGAGTTACCACCTCGTTGTGGCTGGGAGGTGTTTCTGTGTGTCGGGATGCAATGTACAGCGGGGGATTCATTCTTCTGACAGGGTCTAAAGGCTGGGAAGGAGTTCGGCGTTTCCATCATGAAACCTAGCTAAGAATAAACCAATGCCATGATCCACCACCGTCCTGGTATCAAACTAGTCGCATGGTGGCAAATCTCCCTCTGATCCACAAGGGCGGCGACTCCGTGTGTTGGTGACGACCTTGGCAAACTTTGACTAACCTGACCTCGGGATTCCACCGAACCACAATGGCTTAACCAGCAATTCTCCGAAAAGTTTAGGTTATGCTGGGGCCCGCACAACCAATGGGACGGGCCATCCAAATATCCAAGTAAGTAAGTTTACAGTTGGATTTCTACTATTTCGAATTACAGTTTTTGCAGTGGATATTTCAATAGTCAATACATGTTTATGTAAAAGTAGACTCCTATTGCAAGGAATAACAATGTTTTCTCCGGAGGGAGGCGTGTATCCTGTCGCTGCTCCGGTCATAAATTTATTTTTTTAGAATTGAATTCTAAATTTTCGAGAGGAAATTTTGAATAGGGCGATGGAATTGTAGCGGATGCGTGTAGCGCAGTGGTCGTAAGCGCCCTGCAATACACATGGGATCGATCCCTGCACCCTTGGTTCACCATGCGCTCCATCCATCCGGGGCCGGCTGATTGGTCCAAGAGTTCTTTGGAAGGATATCTGCACTGATTGGGTACACTGACAGGACACCGTAAGTCATTGTAAAGGTCAGATATACCTTCGATGACTTCCAACGATGCTTAGTGAAGGCGAATGCATGACGCATCCCTCTGAGATTGATCAACGCTGAGAGCTTTATCCTTTTCATATGCGATGTGATTGAATTGGCTCTTCTACGTATTAAGAAATTTATGTTGAGATTTGTATGTAACTTAATTTCAGCAACATTTTGATTATGGTTACAACATGCGTTGTTGCATAGCTGTTTCTTTGTTCACCACTGCAATGTATATTGTGTATATTTCTGCCCGATGGAAGCGATTTAGACGATTCTCACGGTCTGACCGTATACTTATTGTGATAATAGCGTGGACAAACGGATCTGTGATTTTTGAGACTTTCGACTTCGCACCTATATTTTGGGTATTCGACGCTCATTCACTGTTCCATGCTGCCACCATACCTTTACCACTATATCTTCACAGTTTTCTTCGAGAACATTTATCAGAGAATGAATATCGGATCGTAAAAAGTGTATAGCTCATTTCGTCATTCGTTAGATCTCCACAACTTTTGTTATTTTGTTCCATATCAAGTTATGTTCTCTCACTTACTGCCGATTGAGGAATCTGTGTTATTTTGGGAAGTAAATATCTAATAACTATTCAGAAATACGAGATTTGCGTGCTTCCACTTCATATTTAGAACAGATGCAATGTATTTCATTGATACATTCTTTTCGTCGTAAAGTTTTTCACACGAATAGCCTAACTGGTAAAGTCGCAACCAATAAGTCGATCGTATCCATTGGTTTCAGTCTAAGTGTCCTCCGGCTGTTTCTTTTGCTCAATGAATTTTCTCTGTACAGTTTTTATTTAACCAATAACTTGTCTAATGCGTCGAAAGACCGACTTTCTATAAACCTCGGCATAGATAGTTGATACATTTATTTATGTGATCTTATAAACTGATCTTCTTAAGCTGACGCGAGGTTGGTACAGATCTTCGTTGTCGTTGTCGTTGTTTTTGATGTTATTGATCGATGGCTGACGTTTCGGCGACTTCGCCTTCCTCAGAGCCTGGACGTACTTTATGTTAGAATACTTTTTATTATTCGGTGGAAAAGAACGTTAAAGTATTAACGAAGCTCAAACTTTCAAATAGACGCCATATTGAACAGAAAGGCCACACACCGTGATGTCACGTGGGGTCACGAGCAAGACACACCACGGGGTAAAAATATCATTTTGACTCCCACGACCGACTTTCTATTAGCCTCGGCATGATCAAGTAATTCTTCGCATTTTTGTTGAGCAAACGCGAGGTGTTATTATTCCTTATTCACGAATAAGCTGACGTTTCGGCGGATTTCGTCTTCCTCAGAGCATGGAAAGGTCAAGTTGATAGCAATCTACTCGGCCAGATGCCTCCATAACCAAACAAAGAAATTCTAAACCAAGATTTCAATCACTTTGAACACAGCTTTGCAAACTCACCGCTTCCTATGAGGTTTCCACTAAGTATGTCACGTAGAGACCAACCGCACAGAAATCACCCGGAAGCATAATGTGCCCCTCCCATCAGAAAAGCAGACTGCCCTATATCACGCGTGACAATGAGGCATCCTTCCTTGCGGTTCATTTTCGGGTTTCTGGAATTAATCCAGAATGCCTCGAGAGTACTACGCTCAAATAACAGAGTTGCCAATGGGACAACGACTGGCTCCAAGCCTTGCCATTGCATTTATGTCTAAGGTGGAAGCACCGGTGACTGATCTCGGGCCGCTACTCTACTGTTGATATATAAATTACTGTTCTGTCCTTTGCTCAACACAAGAGGAAATCGACAAATGTTTGGAGTTGTTAAATGCACAGTCAGAGTATATCAAGTTCACCTGAGAAAAGCCGAAAGAAAAATGGCTTCCATTCCTGAACGTACAAATTCATCTGTCAGAAAATGGTTACATTATAAAGTGGCACCGAAAGCCAAGTAGTAAAAACATCTGATCTCCTGTAAGACGTGCGGGGACGAATACATTGGCGAAACGGGCAGACCCCACTGTGTCCGCATAAAAAAACATCTAGCCGCAAACAGACCAAATACCCCACTAGGCACGCATAAGACTCAGAGACAACGGGAGGACTTTGAAGTACGTGTCACGATCCTCGCACGCGAATCAACAACACAGGCGCGAGAAACTCTCGAGGCATTCAGGATCAATTCCAGAAATACGAAAATGAACCACAGGGAAGAATGCCTCATCATCACGCGTGATATAGGGCAGTATATAAGCCTGTTAATCTGATGGGAGGGGCACATTATGATTCTATATGATTTCTGTCCTGTTGGTCTTCGCACGACATACTTAGTGGAAACCTCATAGAAAGCGGTGAGTGTGCAAAGCTGTGTTCAATGTGATTGAAATCCTGGTTTAGAGTTTCCTTGTTTGGTTATGGAGGCGTCTGACCGAGTAGATTGCTACCAATTTGACCTTTCTAGGCTCTGAGGAAGGCGAATTCCGCCGAAACGTCAGCTTATTCGTGAATAAGGATTAATAGCACCTCGCGTTTGCTCAACAAAAATACGAAGAAATATCATTTTGAAATAGCGCGCCAGGTCACACGTGATAGTGAGGCATTCGTCCTTCCGGTTTATCTTTGGATTTTTCAAATTTATCCAAAACGCCTCAACAGTTTTGCGCGCTGATGTTTTTGATTCCTGCGCTAGGATCCGCACATTCACTTCAAAATCATCGCCGTTGTGCTTTTGTGCCCTATGCGTACCTGGAGGAGTGTTTAGACCGATTTTAGCTTTTCCATCTAAGTGTGCTTCTATGTGGACACAAAGTGGCCTCCTCGTCTCCCCGATATATTCCTCGCCGCATGCATTACATGAGATCAAGTATATTATACCTGAACTCATGCAATCCCCGTCTCTCCCCTTAGGACAGATCGTACAGTTTTCTGAGCTGCGTAACATCACGGTGAGTGGCCTTTCTGTTCAATATGGAGTCTATTTGAAAGTTTGATCTTCATTAACACTTTAACCTTCCTTTCCCACCAAATAATAAAAATATTCTAATATGAAATCCAGGCTCTGAGGAAGGTGAAGTCGCCGAAACGTCAGCCATCGATCAATAACATCAAAAACAACGACAACGACAACGAAGATCTGTACCAACCTCGCGTCAGCTTAAGAAGATCAGTTTATAAGATCACATAAATAAATATATCAATTGTCTAATATGGATGTCTAGACATACATGGTCCCAAAGAAATCTGTTTTCCACATTCAGTAAGATGCTGGACAAATAGTGGCCAATTTCGAACGGCAGCGTTGAGAACTGCAGCTCATCTCGTGTACACCTTTATTGATCAAAACAGGAATCATTGAAATCCATACATTATTTCTAACACAATAAGGATTTACTTTGTTAGCAATGAATTCTGAGCTTCTGGATAGAGCAAATTCTTGGAACGCAGAGGAGTCCTTAACTTAAGCGTTGTTATTGCGATTTTCTAAGCTAATCATCAAGAAACTTGGGAAAGGCGAAAGTTGATTAGTGGGAGATTCGATGATTATGGTTGATGGCGCAGAGTTTAGTAGCACAATCCATCACGCTTATGCAACATTGCAAAATAAATGGAGCATTATCATGTATGAGGATTGTAGCTCTTCCGTTCATCCATCTGGCCAAATGTGAATAACGACGTTGAAGTTTCTGTGGAATCTCATTAAATTAATGGTATTTATTGTATTTTGTGATCGTTTCAACAAGTTTGAAAGCCGTGTATTATATCATTGATTATACCGAAGAGAAAAGTCGTTATAAGGGCCTTCTGGTGCAAATGAGGCCTTTGCAAGTGCTTAGGAGCGCTTTATCTCGGTCTAACCATTGAATTGAACGACCTTGGTTGTCGTATGGAAATCACCGTTTATAGTATTTCACAAAGCAACGAAGAAAAGTGCCGTATCTGTTAGGTATAACAAGTTCTGAGCACTCTTTGCGACCATAATCTCGCTGCCATTCGTTCAATTATTGTGGGATCTAGTTATCGAGATCTTACCGAATATTTCCACTGTCATTCACAGAATGAACACCTGTACGCGGTTTTTGAGGGATGGCTTCAATTCTGGCCTTCTTATATCCATCGTCATGTGCTTATGGGCGGATACCCATGCCCTTCGTCATGAAGACTCTGCTACTAAACGAGGCTGTTTGTGCATTTTGCGCTCAGAAACCTTTTCCTGGCTCATGATTTAATGAGACCTCAAAATGCTGCGGGTACTGAATGTCTAATTTTGAATTCTTGAAGCGAAACTGCGGTATTAATGGTTTGGAGGCACCACTGCACAGAACAGAAAACGTCTCAAAAATGAGCGCAGAAATCTACGGAATGGAGACCGATGGGACAGTGGTAGCGGTACTATCTATCACGAGCACGGTGCTGGTTTGACGCATCGCTGGGACCACCGAACCCCTTATCCCTCGAGGTGGGAAACATGGTACCAGACTTGTCTGAACTCAACTCACTCATTCAAATCCACTCAGGAATGTTCTATCACAGCTATTCAAGAATTCGAGGCCAAATCGATTCAACATCTGTAAAGAAAATAGCAATCCGCAAGCAGCAGCAGAATCCACACGCGGAAACTTCGAAGAACTTCGTGAATTATGGATGTAAGGAAACGGATGGAGTACAGGAATTACTGAGCCCTCCACCATAGACGTGAAGATGGATCATGTAAAAGATGGTACACAAAAAGACCGAAGTATCTAACAAAGAACACAAAAGAGGCGTGGCAATTTCCTGGCGGGAAGTGAAGTTTATGTATTAGGTTCGATGCGCACCACGGACACAGGAAGTCCATGGGACCTTACATCGTTTCAGAGTAGTCGTATATGTGTTGGTACCTATACTGCACTCTACTCAAACTTTGCACAATGCAGTTGTGTTTAGAACAAATCGTTGTTTGGAGAGCATGAGTCACAGACTGATCTCTCAGTGTGGCAAATCTCCCTCTGATCTGCGATGGAGGCTACTGCCCATGATGGTGGTGACGTGGAGCAGATTTTGGCCCGGCGGAGCTCGGGACTCCGGGGAACGACAATGGCTAAACTACCAAAACTTCGAAGCTATGGAAATTATTCTGGGGCCCGTACAACCAGTGAAAACGAGCCATCAAGTATCCAAGTTTATGTAGATTTAGATACATCTGTACGAATCTTATTCACACTGAAGGTGAGAACATTTAGTAGTGCCGAAATTAGCCCATGAGTTAGATTTCTTACAACGGTGAGTGACCCTATCAAATTCTCGGGCGAGTAGATGTGTTCAGAGAAAGTGGGGAGAACGGTAACGTAAAACCTTGCTGCCTTTGAGAAGGCAGCGCTGAGCATGAGCTTTGTTTTCTCAATGTCTTCCTCTCACCACACTTTGCTTTAGCGTTTGGTGAATCGTGAATCATATGTTATACGGGTCACGGACACAGTATTTATTATTGTCATCGAAAACAACTATGGTTTTCTGGTAGAATGG